ATGGGGGAAAAAAGAGAGTGTGTGTGTGTGTGTGTGTGTGTGTGTGTGTGTGTGTGTGTGTGATGCACTAACATGTTGAATGGCATTATGGGCTAAATGATACCCGCCCTAGATTTATACGTTGAAGTTCTGACCCCCAGTAACTCAGAATGCAACTGTCTTTAGACATAGGCCTTAAAAGAGGTAATTAAGGGAAAATAAGACTGTTAGGGTGGGACCTAATCCAGTATGACTGGTATTCTAATAATAAGAGGAGATTAGGACACAGACAGGTAGAGAGGTAAGACCATGTGAAGATGAAGGGAGAAGGCAGCCATCGATACCAGGCCTGGGAAGAAATCAACCCTGCTGACACCTTGATTTTGGACTTGTAAGAAAGTAAATTTCTGTTATTTAAGCCAACTAGCCTGTGTTATTTTGTTATAGCAACACTAGCAAATTAATACAAATGGCTATTGAATTTCTTCACAGACAGGATAACTGAATAAGGAAAGCTCAGCCAAAGGGTAAGTCACAAGTTGAGAGCTTGGAATTCCTTTTTTTCTCTAAGAATGTTCTCTTTCTAGAATATGCACTTGTGCCCCTCAAGATGTCCTAGGATGTCAACCATATTTATATGCTGTTTTATTCATCATAGTGTTGCAGGGGGAGCTATATATGAGACCAGCTGGTACATTATTCTTACATTCCTCATATTTTGCTATCAACCTAATGTGTTTAATAAAATAGTTTTTTCTTTTATTTTTGTCTTTTATACTAAAATGTTCAAAAAAATGGATAATTTTTTATCAGACTTAGATAGTATACTTCAAATGGTCTGATTTAAATTTAGGCCACATAGGGAAGTGAACCTGAGGGAAAGGGACCTCAAATAGCTAGATAGAGATCCTTCAGTACAATGAGATAGATGTGTGAATATTGAGACATATCAAATGTAATGTCTCAATGTACAGAAAAAAATAACAATGATTTAAAATACTAGACAAAATATGATATAATGATCCCACTGACAGACATTCTGAATTATAAGCATTGGTTTTTCTGTCAATCTATGTTTCATATAGGCAAAGGACTTTGTTTACAGTGAATGATATGCCTGAGTAATGTATGAATAGATTATTATATTCTATCTTCTATATGGTTGCAGATAGTGCTTTATATAAATCTTACATTTTATCTAGATTTTTGCAAATATTACAAAAGCCCTGATTTCCTGTATCTTTTATTTAACAATTTGACCTATCTTTTGAAAAAAAATTTTTTCAGTAGGCAATGACCCTCTATGCCTTGGAGGATAGTGGAGTTCATTGTTTTGTACTATGACTGTGATCACAGCAGGTAATTGTGTAAAGGGATATGGTTGTGTAGGATAGTGTAAAAAGGACCAGATGGAGAAATAGTGGACAAAATACAAGAGTAGTGCAGAAGTAGCATAATACAATTGTCAATGTTTTTTTTTACCCATGAATTTCTTTACTCTCTAACTAATAATTTGTTTTGATACTAAATCTATACAAGACCTCTCAAAAGGTCCAGAGTTAAGTACTATGACATTTTCCCGTTGATGCTGAGATATGAGAAATTTAAAATCCTTTTGTGATTTCTATATTTTTTTTCTTGGATTCTGGGAACCTAAGAAAGGTCAGCCCAAGAAATTGTTAATAAAGCACTTGCAATCGACGAGGCAGTGTAATCAGCTCTCTTGGAAATAGCTGGTAATTCACATCTCAGTAAGCTTCAGAAAAAGGTTTAAGTGACTTCCTTGTAATAGAATGGCTGGGATCAATTATAACCTGGTAGATTCTGAGTTTGAAGAGAGATATGGAAACCTTTGGTTTTAATTCAATTTAACTCAACCTTTCTAGATATAAACAAGAGAAATTATTTTTAAAAAAAGTCTTTTATGGAAAGAAAGAAGTCTAATGGAGGCATTTTCTAAAATCAGGATATATTTAAATCAGTGAAGCTACATTGAAATAACAATAACAAAATACTTATTGAGCTTTTTTTGTGCTTCATGATCCAACCGCATTTTCAATCCAGTTTCACCATGACATATCTGAAGCTAGGGATATAATTTTTTAAAATAACTTTATGGAATATAATTGACATGGAGTAAGCTGCATATACATGACTAGTATAATTTAATAAGTTTTGACATATGTCATATGATCCATATAACAATCACTGCAATCAAAATAATGAACATATCCATTATCCTGCAAATGTTCTCTGGTGCTCCTTTAAAATCTCTTCTGAAATAAATATAAAAGTAAAAGGTACATATCTAGCGACCTGCCCTATAAAAATTTGTTGAAGCGGTGACTCACGAGGTGGTTGCTTCCTTTAATTTAAATCCCCTAGGAAGGACTTCAATGGCACGTTGATTTTATAATAGCTGCCCAAACACAGGAGGGCCTAAGTATGTCCTAATACAATCAAAGTCCCTCACTCATCTACTGCAGGGGAGACAGCATTCCACTCGTAGGAAGACCACTCATACATATCAAAAAAAATGATATTTATGTAAAAGAATTCGTGGCTTTTCTATAAGTCATGGAACTGTGGGCATGTGAAATTCAACCTGTTTTAAGTGTTTTTAGAATTTTGGTTTCATTTCATTCTATTATTTGAATGTAGTAAACAGATATCCATGGACATATTGCTGTAATTTCTAACATCTACCATATAATTCTCTGAAATCAATAATGTGACTGCAAAACTGCCATTCAATTTTGAAGTTTATATTCAAACCCACATCTGTAAACTGGTGATAACATGTCTATATTATAGAATGTTGTTAGGATTTAGAGACTTAAGTACATACATAGTCTTTTGGCACCATCTGACACATGGAAGTTAGTCAATAAATAGGAGCTATTATTATTACTGTTATGAGTGTCAAAGCTGAGTCAAAAACCTTAACTAAGGTGCCATTTGATTTTTCTTTGAAAAATTAATTTACTGCTAATTGATAATTGGTAATAATAATAGGTAATTAATATTTGCTATACATGAAGAACTGTAAATATTAACTCATTTAACCCTTTCAAGAAACCCAGGAGTTAGGAGTTATATTATTCTTATTTTACAGATGAAGAAGCTGGGCACAGAATATTCAAGTAACTTGCCCAGGGCTATCAAGTAAATAAATGCTGGAGCTGGGATTCAAACACATGCAGTCTGGTTGCAAAGTCCATTGACTTTAACCAAGTTTCACTGCCTTTTCGTCATTACCTCAACTGTTCAGCTTTTTCGTTTTTTAAATTCTCAGTGACTCTACAACTTGTATAATTTTAAGGGACTGAACTTAGGGACTCCGCAGATCCTAAGTACCCCTGCCTTCTTTAGAAGTTTATATTAAATAATATTTTACCTTTGCAAAAACAAAACTTTTCTTAAAATACAGTTATCAATAAAACACAATTATGCTTAGAATGACTGAGTCTACAATTACCTTTTTGCTTTACCTTAAAAGTATAGATAATAGCTAACATTTATTAAGAACCAAGTATTATTTAAAGCATTTTTATGTATTATGTTGCTTAATTTTCATAACCCTCTGAGGTAGGTACTTCTATAATCCCCTTTTTATAGATGGGAAACTGAGGTCAGGAGTATCTAACTTGTTCAGTAAAAGTAACAATAACAAGTAACAGCTGGGATGTATATTCCTGAGCCTGTTCTCTTAGCTACTACATTGTATTTCTCAAGATATTATGCATGCAGATAAGAAATTCAGTATCCCATGTTAATTACAGTACATAATGAATGGAAAAGCACTCTTTAAAGATCAAGAGTCTTGTACTTATTATCTGAAGAAGAAAAAGGGAAGGAAGGTGCTATAAAGACACATAACCTACCAGGTTTTGGCTAAAAATACCCAGCTACCACGAACTTCCCAATTTGGACACTTTATCTACGGAGGTAATTTTTTCTTCTCCTATATATACCACCTCTAAATTTACTCTGCTATTACACAGAGATGCTAGTAGAAATAATTTTTCCTTTTACAGTGCTAAAGTAATAGATCATTTCCCTTCCATTTTAGTCTTCTCAAACCAGGGATTGTTGTCCCCTCCCCCCCCATACACCCCTAATTACTTTGCAGTAACTGTGGCTCACACTGCAATGGTCAAGATGTCACAGATAACAACTAGTTAGTTCTTCAGCCTAATTCCTTTGCTCCTTAAAAACAAACAAGAAAGAAAAAATCCTCCAAGAACAGACGGAAATTCATCGCAAAGCAAAACATTCGTGTTCAGTGGACAGACTTCTCTTGGATAAGAGATCTGCAACAGTAAATAAAAAATATTTCATTTTCTTCACGCCCATTCATGCGTTATTTTTATTTTTATTTTTCCATGTCCAGGCCTCCTCGGCGCTCTGAAATACTTCTTTAGCTAAGCAGAGGCCCCTAACCAGAGGTCTGTCCACAACCTTTCTTCCTCTAGCGCAGACCAGCGTGCGTCCCCTGCGCACTGTACTAGCCCTATCGCAGCTTTTGCAACCTGTGTTTTCAGGATGCCCACCTACCTGTCAGTCTCTGCTAGTGGTCAGTGAAGGAGTCCTAAGGTCAGTTTCACCCTTACACTCCCAGCGCCTACCCAGTGCCTGGCATCTAGGAGGCATTCAAAAACCGCCTGCGGCACGTTGGAAAAAAGAGCCCAACGTACTCTCAACTTCCCCATCTCGGCCCCATCTTCCTGTTTCTCTCCATCCCCTCTTCTGTCTCCCCTCTCCCGTCCTGCTCGCGTGTATTCTGCTTCCTTCCCCGCCCTCCTGCGGTCCCTACCTAGTGACGGTCTGCCGCCGATCCAGTTGCTGCCGCGTCCCAAAATGCCAGAGCTTCCGGACCGCCGGGGTCAGCTAGCGGGCTCTGCCTGGAGGGGCGGAGCCAGCCCTCATGCTCCGAGCTGCCTGTGTTGCCAACCAATCATGAGCCCGCGGAATAAGCTGATATGACGGCGGATCGCGCGACTTGGCTGAGCGCAGCCCTCTGAGGTCACGTGGGCGCCGCGCGCTGCCGCCCCGCTGTTCCTCCTGCTGGAAGAAAGGGCGGGAACCTGAGTGAGGTGCTGAGATGGCTGAGGATTAGGTTTTTTGGGATTTTTTTGGGGGGTTTTTTGGTTTTTTGGTTTTTTTTTTTTTTTTTTTTGCTTTTTAACTAGCCTGACGCCTGTAGCTCGAGTCTTGTGCAAAGCAGGTTTACTGTGTTTATGGAACCGTTCCTAAAAATGATGCTTTACCTTTAGAGAAAGAGATGGTATGTCCTTTGAGATGCATGTCGGAGGCATTTTCCCTCTCAAGTGAAGGAGGCTCAAATATCTGTCGGACAACTGCTACTATTTCTCAATCCGGAGTCTGCCCTTTTTATATAACATTGAATGGCCGGAATCTGGCTGAACTAGTTTATGTAGGTGTTTAAATGGCAGAAATCTTTTCATAGTACAAATAAAGCAAATATATGCAGACTAAACGGGAATATCTGTAGATTGCTAGAGGTTTGTTTTTGTGTGAGTGTGTGGATTTTTATTTTTGTGGTCGTTAGCTTTTTTAAACATGAGTTATGGTGGTCACACTTGTAAATCAACCTTCCTGGGATCCTCAGTGTAATGGTTCTCGAAGGTCAATCAGCCGGGTCAGCATCATCTGATAATTTACTGGAAATACAAATTCTTGGGCTCCAGGCACCCCAGACCTGCTGGATCAGAAACTGGGAGTGCCCCAGAAATCTGTGTTTTAACAAACACTGGAGTGATTCTAATGTTTAATAAAGTTTAAGAAACACTGCTCTAGTGAACTTATCAATCAGAAGAAAATCTAACTAGTCGTTTAATTTTGCTCCCTCCAGAGTGATAGAATAAAATACAAAAAAGTGGGAGATGACCGAGTTTGGGAAAAATCATTTTTATTTCCTTATAGAACCATCAGAAAGAAGTGCTACAATGTAAGGGGAGAGATTATTAGACTCCAATCATTAAAAATATCCTATATCAATATTGTTTTAAATATTTGTGGCTTGCCTCTGACTTTAATAAAAAAATCAACATATGACATTATATTAGTGTCAGGTATAAAAGACTTGATATTTGTATATACTGTGAAATTGCCTCCTATTCTAAATCACATTTTTTCTCCTTTCTTTCCTTTGTTATTGTTCTTATTTCAACCTTTAATTTTTTAGATTAAGATTTTTTATATTCATATCTGTATTCAGTAAATAGTTACAAAATGGCTGATAGGTGCCAGGCACTATTCTATGCACATAAGATATATTAGTGATCAAGAGAAATAAAGTCCTGCCTCTTGAAGCTTATATACTAGTGAGGAGACAGGAAACAAATAAATGTATGATGCAATGTCAGATAGTGATAAATGCTATGAAAAAAAAAAGAAAAAGAGAAAGGGCAAAGAGATTAAAATTGTTGGTAAGGGCTGTTTCTTTAGACTGCAATGTCAGAGTCAGCTTCTCTGAGGAGAGAACATATGACCTGAATAGAGAAAGGGCATTTCGTTTGCTTGGAAGATTATAAACTGAGATATAGAGTCTGAATGTTTTTGGTGAACTAGTGGGGCCACTGGCTCACAAACATTTATTTGCATGATTTTATCTTTTATCGGTAGTTTCCTTGAATGCATGTACGTATGTGACCAATGCCACTTTACAAAGCAGGCTGAACGCCAGTTCACTTAGTCCATATCACCTGAAGGGAATATTCTTGCATAGATAAATGGGCTCGTTAAGTTGTTTATTGCTTTGGATTATGTAGCTCTTAACAAACACGTGCCACATGGCTATAGGCTACCTGTGTTAGCATGTGCCACTTGGCTATATATAACAAGTCCCATCTTTGGGTATGGAAATCTACAGTCTTGCTGCTGCCCAAGACTCTGCTTCTGTTCATAGTTTCCTTGAGAACCTTGCTGTAATTCTGGAGTTGTCATCCTCTTTCTTTGGTCTCTCAGCTCCAGGAAGTTTTCCCAAGGAGACCCTCTCCAGATCTTTGGGATTCTCTCCTTATGTAGCTCTCTCCTCTTCTGTCCATGAACTCTAGCTGACTTGGTCTCTACATACTCTCAACTCTGTCTGATCAGTTCTGAGGAGTGCCTTAGTTCTTTGTCCCTGCCCTGCATCCAAGAAACTCTCAGGGCAGTGAACTGAAGCAATCTTTGGGCTCGTTCATTCGTTTCTCATTTCTCAGGTGACACTGTCTTTCATTGCCATATGTCCAATGTCTTGATAGCCATTCTTTGATATATTTTTGTTGTTGGTGGTGGTGATATTGTTGTTATTTTTGCAGGTAGGAGGGTAAATCTGGTCCCTCTTTTTTTTTATCTTAAAAGCAAAAATCAGAATTTATAGTCTAAGCACTTTCTTGTACCATCTTCTACAGCATCTAAAAAAGTGCATAAATTTTTCAAAAAATTTGTGGCCCTCCTGATTGCCATGCGTGGGACCATGATCCTATGTTACGAGTTTGTAGACGAAACTGATTCATTCCGTCAGATGGATTTCACTGCAACAGCAGAACATAGGTTCACTCATGTGCACATATGAGGCACACCATAAGTTTCCAAAAATAATTAAAGGAGACTTTTGTGAGACATACCAGTAAAGGAGCAATTAATATGTGACTTTTGAATCTTTAATATTGATGTATTTGTAAGCAGAATGGGATTAAAAGGATTGCTGAGTGGTGAAACTAACAATCCTTGCTGAAGTGTCTTTCAGAACAAGGATGTTCCTTGCAAGACTGACCACAAGAAGATGACACCTTGCTCCTATTGAAACCAGATAAGGATGCCTTAAAGAAACAAAGGTTGACCCTGCTTTATTGTAATACTAAATTCTCCTCCCCAGAAAGAGCTTATCCACCGTTTCCTATACATGTGATATATGATAAAGCATGACCCCTTACGATCCCTGTGGTAGAATGGCCCAGCCTCTACATCTGATGACCTGTCACTTTTGATAAATATGTATAACTAGTCCCAGTAAAGACAATTCCCTTGTGTATTCAGGGAGAGACACTGCTTTGGGAATGGTCTCTAGTGCTCTCCTTACTTGCTGCAAGTAATAAACTTTCTTTGCTTATATTTTATCTTTGTTGAGATTCATTGTACACACTCACCAAGAGATGGACCCCTTGCATTTGGTAACAAGTTATATCATCCATAACTATGAACTGGCAAGGCCTGAAGAAATTTGGGTTATAAGTAGAAAGTATGTACTAAATAGAATAGGAGCATAGAGAGGATATTGACTTACTCTAAGAGAGGCAAAAGCGGCTTTACAACTCAAGCTAAGACTTGAAGTTGAGAAAAAGGAGTTCACCAGTGTCAGACGATAGTTATGACTAGAAGGCAAAGGTCATTGCCTATGCAATGGGTGACAAAGTGAAAAAGTATAGCATGTCTGGAATGTGAAAGTCATACTATAAAGTTGAGAATCATAAACAAGACATAAGGAATACAGAGTAATGAATTGTTTCTATTTGTTAGAATTTTGTGAGACCTGGTATGAATTTCTCCATGGGATATAATTTACTTCGGCAAAGCTTCTGGGGATTCTACTAATCCAAGAGTACTCTAATTTAAATTCTCATTTTGAGGTTTTTAATATTACCCAGATAACAAGAATTTGGCTTGGAGGTTGGCTTTCAGTTCTGAATTCTTGTCAGTTATTTCCTTATTTGCTCAGCACAGATGTTTGAGTTTATTTATTTACTTGTGTAGTTCCCTGGGGCTTGGATGGGGGGGTGGGCATGGTGGAAATATTTTAGTGAAAAAGTTCATCTATATACCTAAGTCACCAAATAATCGGAAATAGAATATACCTAAGTCATCAAATAATTAGAAACAGAATGAAAATCTTCCTGATGGAAGAATCTAGTGTTTTATTTATTGACATCTTATCTGCTGAGAAACTATTTCCAAATCCATTTGCTTTATAAAATTTTGGGTAAAGAAAAGAACATAGAAATGGTTAATCTAAATGACAGAGAGCTAGACTTTTTCCAAACGTCTTTTATCTACTCATTCCTTTGCTTGTCCTCAATGGTCTTTAAATACCAAAGCTGAGTTTTAGTCTGGCCTCTAGTTTAGTGGTAAGAACAATAGTTTTGAAGACTTGGGTATAGTGCCAGTATTGCTATGTATAAAGTTTGTAACTTCCAGGACTTCACTTGTCTCCTCTGTAAAAATCAAACACTAATACATGCTATATTAGTTTTCTACAGCTGTGTAACAAAGTATCACAAACTGATGGCTTAAAACAATAGAAATTTATTGTCTTACAGTTCTGGAGGCTAAAGGTCCAAAATCGAGGTGCTGGCCATGTCATGCTCTCTCTGAAACCTTTAGGGAAAAATTCTTTCTTGCCTCTTGTTTCGGGTGATGGCCATCAATCCTTGGTGTTCCTTGGCCTGAAAATGCCTCACTCCAATCTTTTTTGCCTTTTGTCATTACATAGTATTCTCCCTGTGTGTTCAGATTTCCCTCTTAGTAAGGACATTGGTTATAAGGAATTAAAGCCTCTCCTAATTTCAGTATGACTTCATCTTAGCTTGATTACATCTGCAGAGATCCTATTTCTAAATAAGGTCACATTCTGAAGTACTGGGAGTTAGGACTCCAATATATCTTTTTGTGGAACTCAATTCAACTCATAATACCTATCTTCTAGGGTCACTCCCTTTTCTCTTTGTCAAAACACATCAC